TTTCACTCACACCATAGAGCAGGCCCCCGGGCATTCAGCCACTCAGGCACTCAACTCATGACACTCCAGACCGGGCCACTCAGCAGTTGGCAGGCGGCTCTCCGAATCTGTATCGTTATCGTGTACAATTTTATAGCAGCGCGCTGGCCAGCCGGACGATTGGGGCCTGCAGTCGCGCTAGAGACCCGGACTCGACTCGAGTGGAGTCAAGCCGAGTCGAGCAGAGTCGTGTCGCGGGGATTTGAAGAGGCTAGGTCACCAGATATCGAGAGGCGCACGCTCTGAGCGACAGAGCTGAGTGGTACTTCAAGTCCTGAAGAGACGTCCTCGCCGGTCGAGTCGACTCGGACGGGACAATGCACACAAAAGCTGCGCTGTTCTCGACGGCAAGGCTCCACAAAGTCGGTAATTGCCTCAGAAGGACAAAAACTGAACAAAGGAAGAGGTTGAGTGATCGGATGACTCAATGAAGAAAAGTCGAAAGTAGCCAAATAGCGATGGTAACATAATTCTGCCACCGAGCAGCATACCTAAAAAAACGACTGCACCATATTCTGATTTTATAAAATGACACACATTACACATAAAAGTGGAAGTTGTAACATAATAATGCGTAAAAACATCAGAGCAGTGGCAACCCGTCTCGGAACCGTATAGCGGTGACGTGTCGGCCTTCACGTCACGTCCAAACGCCACGTCAAATCACGTCACGTCATACACAGCCCGACCTGCACCAGCTGAGTGACAGTCTGCGCAACTGTCGGCGCCGCCACCACCCAAACAAACGGACCCGACATCGGCTCCGTGGCGCCCGCACCCTCCCCGCAGCGTGGGCTCCGGCGCCGGCGCGGGACGCAGGCACAGGTGGTCGCTCACCCCCGACCCCTCCCCGACACCCTCACCCCACCGGCTGGGGGGGGGGGGGGGGAGAGCGGAAAAAAGGCGCCCCACCGGCGCCAGAGGCCGGCAGCTGGCATCAGAGCAAACAACCGTCTGTCGCCGAACCTCCCCCGCTCTCTCCTGCGGTGCCGGGAGGGACGACAGGGGAGGGGGTCACGCCCCGCGCGCACCAGGGACCCAGCTGTGACGAGCACCATACAGGCGGCTACAGACGGTTTGCGGTACGGTTCGATTCGGTCTAGCGAATAAATAAAAAAGTGGAATGATACGGTGTGAGTCAAATGATAAAGAATCCACAGCAAGAGGCGTTTTCCCAAACTATCTCAAACATTTGTCAGAACCACATACTTCCAGGAATGTTCACGTCCGAACCCACTCACTTCGTGCGCATCACGAATCTCACGGAACTCACGGTCTCACTGAGACTCACACGGATTCCGAAAATTACAAGCTCATCTCACGCAACACACGCCACGGCAATTATAGACCAGGGACCCACGACTGGTCACCCTCCCGCACAATGACGAGTAATCACGTGCGATCACGTGCGTCCACGTGCAGTCACGTGCGGCAGGGCGTAAAGCATCCCCTAAATTCGCGCGCAGCGGCGGTGCGGCCGCCAGAGATCATTATGGCGCATATCGCCCCCTCGGGCCCGAGGGGAGGGGGCAGCTGTTGGTAGAATCAGGATTGGTTGGGGTGCCGTTTGCCCCAGGTCCAATGGATCCAGTATCCGGGTCCAGGTGGCCCGACTGCAGGGGACTGGGCGGACGATGCATGGAGTATGGATGATAGGATCAAGAGGATATAAAATAAATAAGCCCTTCGCCTAAAAATAGATCCAAACACCGATTACTGACGGCAGTAAGCAGGGACGGTATTTCAATAAAGGAAACCGAAAGTTCGCGCGGTCATTTTCAATTTGTGGACAGTGAGCGCTCTCAATTCTCAACCAGCAGCCAGTGAGAGTGCGCAGCCCTGTGGCTTGCGCGGGAGGCGAGCCGAACGGAATACCCCTCTCCCGCCCCGCCCCGCCGACAGAGGACCGGATTCACGCTCGGGGCTCCCCGTTCCCCTCCCCACCTCGGCACCCCTCCCGGTTCCGGCGTTGCGGTTCACGCCAAACATTGCTGCTCTCAACAGTGGCCGGGACCAGCCGGAAACCCATGACACGCGCATCGCTCTGTGCAGTCACACCCGCCCGATCTATGTGACATGCAGTCTTGCTGACTACAGAGTGGTGTTTTATCCCTCAAAGATCACCAGTTGACTGGAATGCCAGACATAACTCTTATCACATAATTGAGCGTGTCTTTGGGGAACGTATGCACAAAAGGACAGGCTATGTCACTTAGCCTACGTGATAAGGGGCACATCCTAGCACTTCAGTCGACTGATGTCCTGTGAGTGTTAAAACATCATTCTGTAGTCATCTGTGCTGTAGCGAGGTCGAGAGACACACCAGCCGCAATAAGGCAGTGCTGACAGACCAGTGCGCCACATTAGTCGACCCAGGGCGGGTCCGAAGACCGTCGCCCGGTGCCGGCGTGCGGCTCCTTATCTGGAGTCCGGCAGGCCGGCGGCGAGTTCGCCGTCTTGTCGAGCAACATGTCCGTCGTGTAGCCGGTAAAAGCGCCACGGTGTCGCCGGGCGATAACAAAACTGGTCTGCCCCCTCCCCCCCCCCCGGGTCCGACAAACCGGCAACACACGGATTCGGTTTCTGCCGATCGTGTTGTGTTACGTTCTGATCAGTACAGCGCGAGGCTGACTATTTTAGGCGGCGGGGAGTGTCGCTAACATCGGTCAACACACGCCAGTCAATTACAAAGGGAGCACGAAATCGGTACGGGCGACGGCGTGCCGGCGAAAGTGGCGCGCTTTTTGCGCGGTTCGCCAGCTGATCGGGGCTGGTACAGCACGGTACTGTTTCGGGTTCAGGCGCGCGCGCCTAGCCGTCCCTCGGCCCCCGTTTGTAGCGGCTTCTCATCTGTTATCACCCCTCTTTTTCTCCCTCGTCAGATTGTTGTGCCGTGCCTCGGTGAGCGGATTTGGTCGGGGCGCCCGGTGATCCCCCTTCAAATCCCATCAGCCGCCGCCGCCGTATTCAGCCTCTGATCGGATGAAGCGTGCATCCGCTCCCCTCCTCTCCCCTCCCCACAGGGGCGCCGTCCCGTTCTCACCGAGCTATCCCGTCCCTTTTTACACTTCGCTTCAAAACTGATTTACAATGACCGGCGGGGGAGAGGGCAAACGGGAAAATTAGAATTATAGGGCAATTTATGCCGCACTAGCGGCCGGAGGGGAGGTCGCCGGCCGCGCGGGGGTGCCGCGGGGAGCCGAGGGGTGCGATACAGGGGAGGGCGAGGGGAGCCACCCCTCCCCTCTCCCCGAGTGGCAGGGTGAGCCGTTATCACGTTTCGTCAACACGACCCTTCCCTCAGCGGATCGAATCTCCCCAGAGCCGGGTATTAGGACAAATACGGCCGGAGGGGCGGCGGGGCGAGGGACAGAGAGGGAGGGGAGGAAAGGAGGGGAGGAGAGAGGGGTGTGCAGGTGAGACGGCACTCCACAATGCCGTCCGCGCGAGGGTCCGTCCCGGGAGAGATTGGACGGACACGGCTGCTCGGGGCGGGTCCGGTCCGTGAGGGGAGGGGAGGGTAGAGGGGGGAGCGGTTTGTCACATGGCGCCGCCGAGGGACAGAGGGGACAGAGGGCAGGGACAGAGGGCAGGGACAGAGGGCGGTGGCAGCTGAGCAGACTGAGAGAGGCCTTCACGCCGCGCCGGCGCACACAAACACGGGCCATTATCTGCGGCTGGCGCCGAGCCGGGCCGGTCTCCCAGCCTGCCACCAGCCCCAGCGGCCAGCCGGTCTCCCAGCGCCCGCCGCCGGCCGTAGCAGGGCCCGCCTCCCCTCCATCCCCGCTAATTACCCCCGCCAGGTGTCGCTCGGGACAGAGGCCGTTCCGCGACTCGGCCACTCACCAGTCACCAGCGCGAGCGATACCATCTCCGCCGGCGGCGCTGGCGGAGGTCCGTACCGGCCAGCCCCAGCCCGTATGAATCCCACTCGGTAATAGAGCCCTCCGGCGCTCCGGCGGCGACCCTCAGCCGCTCGCCGCCCCTGCAATTAACCCGGCGGCCGCGGCGTTTACCGGCGCGCCGTTTTTGTGATCTCTTGGCGCGCCTGATGGATTGTGGCGGCCAGCGCCGGACGCCGCCGCTAGTTGACGCGGCGGCCGCAGCGCGGCGCTGGCGTCGCGCCGACCGGCTCTAATGGCCCGGTTTGTGGCTTGGTGGGGGCGCCGGGGAGGGGGAGGGGAGGGGCGCGGGTAGCCCGCTGACCACTCGGCGTGACTCATTTTACAGCATAGTTGCCTGCTGTTTTACACGGCTGAGCGGTGGGTGGCGGCCGGCGGCTCGAGACCGGAGGGGAGGGGTGCGGACTCTGGTACGAGCACCGCATCGCTGACACCGCAGGGGGCTGGACGGAGTTCGAACGGCCTCGGCGGGGCGGTGGAGGGGAGGGGTCGGCGGGGGGTCGGGTGGATCCGGCCGAGTGAGCATCCCTTCTCCGCCGGGAGCCGCTCTGTTCTCTATGATCCCCGCCCGGTAGCGCAAACAGACGGGTGAAAGCATCAGACGCCATTGTGTCACAAAGCGTTTCTTCATGACGCTCTCGGAGCGCCAAGAAGCGTCCCAGACTCTCGATAATCAGTCACTTTCACGGCTGTTTTCCCGCAGCCCGATCGTTCGCCGCCGCGACAGGCGCTGACGAAACACGTCGTCTGTGATCTAAATAACCATCTGCTGGTTCAGCGGCCACGCCGGCCGTGTGTTGACCACAGGACGCCGTGGCATCATGGGAAGGGGACAGTTGCGTCAGTGTCCAGTCTGGTGGTAGGACGGTCCGATGGCACTGTATCTCGCCCCCGGCCACACCCAGAACACTGAGGGCAAGGTGCGGACTGCGGACAGACTTCGGCCGTTCCAGCAGGAAGGATGCAGCCGGAGAGCAACTAGTTACCGCAGGGGTATCAACACTCTCACTCTCACTCACACTCAGAGGGGTACGAGTGAGTAGGGTAGGTCACACTCACCACTGGTGCGGGACGGTAGCCGGCGGTGACGGCAGCCAGCCTAGCCGCGCTGCCAGACTGTGGGACAAACAGATATTGCACGTCAGCTGAGGCATACGCCAAGGGCCGATTGCTGCACGCTCACTTTTTGACGGCGCAGTTTGCCTAGTTGTAAACAGAACTTTCAGGTTGAACCAAGGATGATTGACTAACCAAATAATGAATACGCTCCACAAAAGACGGAATGATCCATTCTAACTGCAAAAGGTGGTTAGCATGAACAGTAAACGTCATTGCAAAAAAGGCACGACGAAATTCAAAGCGACAGTCACGACTTGTTACAGAGAAGCATTTCCAAAGTGTGCTCAATCGCTCATAGCTCATTGCATATCAGTTCGACATTCGTCTCGATCGATTCAATACTGGCATCGACTTGGTTACTTTCATCAGCCGAAGGACAGTTATAAACTGAAGTTAATCAACAGATCAGAGTCCCAGATGGAACATATTTACTGCCAAATCGCCATCCTGAGCAGCAATTAGGAACCCAGAAAATCAAACACACGGTCATTTCCCTACTGTCATTGCTTTCACGGCGTGCTCATCCACATGGGGACAGCGAGCCCGCCAAGATGAATGATTGGACATCCAAACGCCGCCTAGATGAGGACGCCCGGGGACAGCCTCGCGTCCCCGCAGCTCGCCAGATGAATTCACAGACATCCAAACCCCGCCCAGATGGGGACACCCGAGCCCCGAGCCCGCCTTCCCAGCCTTCTGACGACGAAAGACGCGCCTGTCGCCACTCGATTCCGAGGGGGCGTCCAACAGGCGCACACCAGACACCAGCCAAAGAAAACGGCCAGTAAGCATCTCGGTACACGGAAAAAAAACTAGCGGCGAGACAGGGTTGAACCCACTCCGGGAGATAAACGATCCAACACAGACCGTCCCACAAGAACTGTGACGGCCGTGGAAAAACAAACTCACCATCGGAAAGAGAGGCGTAAACGAGCCGAGAAAAACCTGGCGAGAAGCCCGGACGGGGGCAAAAGAGCACACAGAGCATACAGAGTCGACACAGAACAGACGCCGCCCCAACTGTGCACACAGCAGTCCTCCCTCCCCTCCCTCCACCTTCCGACCGGAGGCACCGCAGGGTCGGGGGTGGCACGGTCCGCCTAACTGACACACACGACACACGGACACCAGTCACGTGCACAAGGACCATGGCAGATGACGTCAGCGACGACAGATGCCCGTCAACAAAGACGGACGAAAAAACGACCGGCGGCCGGTGTCTGGTGTGCCGGCGGCCGCCGCCACGTGGCTGTTCGCCAGCCGACGCCCCTTTGTCCGAGCGATCGGTCATTAATCACGCGCGTTCCCACATCTCATCGGCAACAGGGGGCTCATTGAATCGGCCGTCGGCCCCACGTCGGTCGGTCCGGAGATCGGTTCGTTCGACGGAGCGGGGAGCCGGGCACCCCACCCGGAACGAGGGCCGCGAGCGACGGAGCTGTTCCCGCCGGTTCCCGCCACCCGCGCGCTTCCTGGCGCGCCCACCAGGCGGCGCGCCGGTCGGCCGGCTGACGTCACGTCCCAAACAGGTCGGCCGCAGCGCCAGCCATGTTTATCAATTATTTTGTAGCGTGTGATTACGTGAGCTGAGCGGCGGCCAGAGCCCGCCCGCAGCGCCGCCGGCGGCTGGCGTTCAATTCCGGCGCACCGCACCCGAGCGTGACGCGGCGGTGACAGCGGCGGCGCGCGTGAAGACGGCCGCGCCGCCGGGCGTGACGCGTAACGCGGCCGTGACGGCTTCGGTGGTGGGCCGGCGCCGTGACCGGCCGCCCAGACACGCCGTGAGAGCGACTAATGAGACGTGCCGGGTGTCCCGGCGGCGACACGGAGCGGGGCGCCGACCGAGACGTCAGACTGAGGTTGCAGACTGCAGCCGCTGGACTGGCTACTGGCTAGACAGGTCAACAGGCTGACCAGGCACCGACACAAACTTATACTGCGCATAAACGCTTATTGACGACACGGCGCTTAGTAGTGTTTTCCCCACATACGTTGTAGCTAGGGACATCCCCTCTGCCACCAACAGCCAGCGCCTTGCCAAGCGCCCCAGGGAACTTTTCCGCCGGCGAAACGAGCTCACCACCCTGCTCGTTCATCACGCTGCCATTGAGCCCAAACATTCGCGACGGCTCGGGTTTCTCTCACACCGTCTACAGACGCCACCAGCAGCGGAACAGGATGCTAGGGGCAGAGTCGTTTAGCAGAGCCTGGTCGACGGCTGGCGACGCCCCATTCCACCCTTCCCCACCGCAACGGATGTGGACGTTCATGTGGATTGTGGATGTTCCTGCTTCAACTGAAGATGTAATCAACGCGGCGAATTGTCCCCAAACAATCATCTGGCAGTTGCGCTGGTATTTGGTTTCAGAGCACAGTATTTCGCCTTCATTTGATCCATTTTTGCAACAGTATGTTATCTAGAAGAACTAAAAAAGGAGTTAATTGTAATGCTACCAAAATCACTTTCTTTTCTCATCCATAAGTCCTGAGCCCATATGAATCCTCGCTCGTGCTAAAATGGTAAAAGCACTGCGCTGGCCAATATCACCAGTCCAGAGCCATGTCCTTTCCCAGAGCTGTCTTGGGTCACTTTCCCAGAATCCCTCCTAGTCTCAGCTGTCCATTGACATGGACCATCCCAAGTCCCGGCGGCGGTGGCTCGATCCACTTCCAAAGCCATCGCGTGTTCCCATCTAACGCGTGACCGAGAGTCTAACAAGACCCGGCGGCCGGCGGCGGCCCATCCTGCCTTTGTTTCCCGGCTCGGTGACCGTTTTCGTGTCGCCTTCTGACGGCGGACAGATGAGGGCGACATTCCGTGGGCGCCGCCGCCCGGCGGGACCATTCAGGGCGGCCTATCCGTCCCGTCGATCCCTCTCTCAATGGTGGCCGTCCGGGATATCAGTCGGAGATCGCGCGACGATGTCCTCGCGCGGGCGGTCCAGTCATTTCTCTCCATCTCAGCCGGGCTGAGTCAGCATGAGGCATCATGTGGGTAGAGAGGGCAAAGTGGACGAGTCTAGTGACCAAGGACGGAACCTCGGCGCCGACCCAAGCTGTGGTCGGAGCGATGTCGGAAAGGGTCACCACTCACCACTCCGAAAGCTTCGTAAGGCTGTCGGGCGCACTGGAGGGAAGAAGCGATGACTCCGCACGGGAAACAAGGTCCGGCAGCCGCACGGCTAACGACAGGGTGGCCGGTCGGCGCACGGAGGGAGGTCCAGCGGGCCAGCGGGCGTGACTCTCCGCCACGGTCCGTGTGACGCTCCGTGACGGGCCGCGTGACGCTCCGTGACGGGCGCAGCGGAGCGTGACCACGCTGACGGCCGACCTTGGCTCGCCGCCCCCAGCGGCAAATTCGTGTAAATGATCACTTGATTAGGGCTTCTCGTCACGCGAATGAGCGAGGCTCGCTGCTCCTCCGGCCGCCGCGGTGAGAGCATGGGAGGGGAGCTGGAGCGGCACCATGCTCGAGTTACTTCGACACATGCTTCCCCTTCCCGCACCACTTCCAGCGGGGTCCCCGCCTTCCCACTCAGCTGACACCTGGTCTGTTTTCCGGGACATAAAGTGCCACCCTCGCGCCACCCCTCACCGACACCGGAGACGAGGACCTTCGCCCCACCGGGTCGGTCCCTTCCCGTCCCCAGAACCAGCTCCTCCCCTGTAGTGGCGTCTTCCTTCCCTGAACCGTGTCTGGTACCGGATACCCTGCGCTGCCTCTCCGTCCCGACCGCGGGGTCCGCCACATTCCAACACCAGCGGCCTCAAACACCGGGGGAGCCGCCAGTCGCCATCCAGGGTCCCGGGAAGAGTCGCGCGGACGGCTGGGCATCTGGAAGGCCTGGGGTCCCCTGCGTTGAGAGCACAGCAGACGGTGGGGAAGGGAGACGCTGATGGATCTGGGAAGGTTTACAAAGGGGAGGGCGACGGGCGGAGCAGGGAGGTCCCCAAGTAAAGAGAGAAGTCGCGAAACAGGAGAACAAGAGGGGGCCAGAGGGGAAACCAGCGAGAAAAGACGTGAGCTGTCAGACGCAAAGAGCGAGCCCCGCCGGGTGAGGGCGACGGATCCCCTTTCCGCTCCTTCATGGCGCCCCTCCCTTCCCCTCCCCTCGACCTCCGCCAGCCGGTCCGGCGCCGGCGCTCGGCCTGCCACAATGAAAGAGCTCCACCACACCGCTCCGGCACGGCGCGCCGGTGGCCGGAGACGGCGTTTTTGCTGAGCCACAGGTGTGCTATCAGACGAATCCCCTGCGACGCCTGCCCATTGTCCGGTGCGACGCCACGGCCACCGCGGGCAAAAAGCAGCGCGGTTTTTCGGTGGGGCGCAGCGGGGCGGCCGACCGTATCGGTGGCACTAATCTACTTAGCGGTCTTCAGACGCGTCGCAGACGTGCACAGACGAATAGACGGGCGGACGGATCAGTTCGGGAGGAGGAGAGATGGGGGCACTGGGCACTGGGCAGCGAGTTAGGCAGGAAGACATTGTCATTGATGTAGCTTTAAACCGGATAAATAAAAAGAAAAGATGAGTGAAGGAGAGGATGCAGGGAAGAGTAGCAAGGGATAGTATTTGTTACAAACTAAGGGATATCCTGTTGAAATGGCACGATGAAAAGAAGAGAAATAAAGAAATGACAAAGGAAACGTGGTAAGTATCGCGGCCTGAGTTGGGCGGAAGGATGGATGTTCTTGTAAAACAAGAAGGTACTTAACTTCTGTTGAAGAGTCCCGAACCTCCATTCCAGAAGCTATAAATAAAAGAGGCACGGGTTCAACAAGGCAGTGACATTGTGGCAGTTCACAGCAGCTTCAGTTTTCCTAGCTCCCAACAACAGACTGTGTCCGTCACGCGCCTGCGCCTTGTGGCGAGAATAGAGCATGGCTGTCATCAGTCAGCCGTCTCTGAGTGACAGCCAGTGACAGGCGATGACAGATGAGTCGATTTCCGACCGAGCGTCACCCGTCACGGCCGCTCGTCACAGTCACCGGTGTGACGCCTCTATACAAAGCCCCTGATAACATCCATCAGACTCGTGACGGCCGGGAGCAGTCGGCTCACCGGCCGGTGCAGCTCACCGGCAGTTCGTGACCACGTGCCGGCGCACTTCGTGACACACCGTGACAGTCCCCGCACCACGAAAAGGCGCGACATTGAACGGTCCACCACGTTCGGCGGACGCTCGCACAAAAGGCCATCGACTTCTGTGACAGCACGACAATCCGAGGCAATTCGCCCCACACACGACTGGCTCGGTCCTCGCCACTCGGGGCTGGAGAAGGGTCGGCGAACTTCACCAGCTCTACTTCAGGAATCTAGTTATCCGGTCGACTGTTTTCAACAGTACAGACTGGTTGGACAGCTCAAGTATCCATGCGTTCACTTTTCTTGCCTCTTTGTTTCTGTCCCTGTTTTTGCTCGGATCTACTTGCACGCGTAGTCATTCTGTTTTTGTTCTATCGCTTCTCATTTCAAACACAGCCGTTGACGTAAGCCATATTAATAGGATTTGTTGTGGGCGGGTTGTAATCCTTTTGCAGCCACAGCAAGGCATGACTCGGGGTCACACCACAGTGGCCAGAGCCGTAGGTAAGCGCCGCAGTGGAGAAAAAAAAACCCGCACCACACAATTAGAAATCATTCTAAAAATTATCATGAAACGCATTGTCATTTAATCCTTATAGACGAATTCTGAAATGTCATTCCAAACAAAACAAATCTGGTTCGCTTTCAATAGCGCAAATCATCCTGTCAACATTCGTTCAGACCCAGTCAAACGCAGCAATGTGTTGAATCTGACCATATCTGCTCAGCGACCATAAACTACAACCTCAATCAACAGTCAGCATCAAACAGCGGAAACTTAGAAACCGGTCTTCACATTTGCGCCGCCAGAATCTACATCGATAAATCTACAGCGGCACTACACCGCCCAACGCGGAAGAACTTTGTTCCCCTTCCGCTCGGGTGGGCTCGGGGCCGGAGCGGCCGTGCCGGGCTCGCCGGGACTTGTTGCGGTGTCGGCATTGATCGGGGTCGGCCGAAAGGTCAGAGGTGAAGTCGGCCCGCCGCTAGGGCGACCGCCGGCACCACTCGACAAAGCAGCCTCGTGACCCGCCGCCACCAGCGGGATCTCCCGCGGGACTTCCTGACTAGGCGTCAGTGGGCGAGACGGGATAGGATATCGCTCTGGAGGATGGTAGGTCACACTCGTGAGAGCTCTGGCGCGATTGCTCGGCTGTGCTGGTGATGATTAGTTGGACGAGGACTCGCTAAGAACAAGATATGATGAAGTGGAAACTGAAGCAGGATGTTTGCGAAGAACAAATATTGACCACTCATCGTCTTGCGCCCAGGGCTGACTTGAGCAGCAAAGCTTTTTCCCATTTTCTTGAAGTTGTATCCAGATAAAAAACACGAGGCAAACAAGTTTGAAAGATCACCACACTAAACGTTATTGCAGCAAACTTGTCTGAAAATGCATTCACCCAGATCCCTTCTTCGTCAGCATCAATCAGCATCGGTTGGGGAGGCAAGCAACCTATAAAACAATGATGACTACCAGCAGCCCCGATTTTCATCCCACTAGGTCACCAACACCCAAACCCCCGCCACCTTCCAGCTACTGCCATGGACAAAGATCCGTCATTCTGGACCACCCTCCCGCTCGGGGCCCGAACCCACCCAGTTTCCTTGACCCTCAACACCAGCTCAACATCCCCAGTCCCAAGCCCAATTTCCCTGACTCAAACCACCTTTCCTAGGCCCAAACCAGGCTCCCCAAACCCAAACCAACCCCCGAGGACCCAAGCCCAGTTTCTCCAGGCCCAAACCACCTTCACAGAGACCCAGACCCACCTGTCGTTCCTCCTCCTGTGCCAGCGCCGCCATCCTCTTGGCGGCCATCTCGGCCTCATGTCGCACAAACTCGGGCTTCATCAGCGGGTGTGTGGCGAAGCCGGGCAGCGAGGCGCTGCTCACGGCTGACTGCAGGAGTCCCGCCGAGGCCAGGCTGGTGGGCGGCAGGCCCGGCATCCCCGGCAGGCCGTGCGGCGGCACTGGCAGCGAGGGCGCGTGCGGGTTCAGCGCCTGCTGCGCGTGCATCTGTTGCTGTGGACAGAGAGGCGAAGGGGGAGGGTGAGAAGACGGCACGACGTTGCTGCTGGTGATGGATGATGATTTCGCGCTTTGATGATCGGGTTCAACGGTGCAACAATCGCAAATCATGCAGCACTCTTGAGAGAGATGTCAAGCAGAAGTGACGACTGTAATAAGCGGTAACAGATGACACATTGTGAGAAGGAAAAGGAACAACGCAGTGAACCAAGGTGTGACAGGGACAGAAAGAGTCCGGGTGCGGACTAAGTGGACTTGATGAAGGGGCGGTCGGCGAGAGCGCATTACAACACGACGATAATAGTTATAATAATTGGGAATTTCCCGCGCCACAACTACGTGACTTAATGACAACGCCCTGGGACGGGCAACAGTCATGGAACTTGATGGAAGAGGTACACGAAATCAGATGACGTTGCAAACATCATTGGACGTAATCAACTGCAACAGACCTTTCCGACAGACACCTTCGAATCTACAGTCCACAGCACCCTCGAATGCCAGCGCTCTGCTATATCCGGCAACGCCTAATCCGACTTCGGTGGTTTTGCACACAACGCAAACCAGCGCACATTCACGTCATTAGCCACACACGCACATCATCAAACATCATCCACCTCCGCACGTCATCAGCCGCCTGCAGTCCAGGTATGGAGCCGGGTAACTTCAGCTGGAACGCCCAAAGTGCCAACGTGCGCGGGACCTGGCGGAACTGCCAAGAGGCCGCGGGAGCTGACGTCTGAGGCCGCTCGGAGCGCGGCCAAAGACCACACCGGATACGCGGCGCAGTGCGCACACAGGAGATCGCTGACAGAACGCAGCACCGCTCTGCTGACGACCCCGGCCAGCCGGATGAGCGCACAACGCGCCACTGATAAATGCAAGGCAGCTGGCGCGGATGCTGCAGAGCCACATATTGCATACGCCAGAAACGTGAATGGAGCCAAGGAAATGTGAATGAGGATGTTCATCTGACAGTCGACTGGTAGCATACAATGACTTCCTTGTTGCCGATGTCTCTTGACTGCTCAGACATTTCAAGTATTATCCTAGTCTCATAGGTAACAGCATTATCACTGATCCCTCCTCTCGGAATCCTGCCTTCTGGGAAAACGGCTGGCCTATAACCAGAAGAATGACTAACTGCGATTTAATGTACTGGGCGCTAAGATATCTCGCCCAATCGGATCTCAGCTGAACACGTCACATCATGTATTCCTCGGTGTCTTGTCTGGGACGGGAGAGAGCCTGGACGTCCCTACACGAGGAGATGCCTATCTCCAGAAACACGAGATTCCAGTCCGGCGCTCCACATCTGAACAAAACCGGTGCGGCCAGCGCGGAAGAGCGCCGTCATCGCCTTGAATGTTATTCCAAGGCCGAGCGAAACCCTATCTGGTGTCTGATCGCACCCAATTCACACCACGTGAGCGCCTGTGAAGGCACTCCGACCCACTCCGTTCCTCGAAGAGCCCGGGCGCTGTTACGTAGTCTAGTTCGTGACCGGCAAGTCGACGATCTGATTCAAATCCTCGTAAGTAACTGCAAGCCGCCGCAAGCCGACAGAGATAACAGCGAAGAGGAAGACAGTTAGCACCAATAATGATTATCATTAGCTCACCGCCCTTCAAGGGCGGGAGGTACAGCCCTCTGCAAACTGCGTGGTAGGTATTCTTTCTTCGACAAAACCGAGAATAACGCGGATACTATGCTATCGGTTGCTTGGAAATCATAACAGCAAGATGCGCGAGACTCTGCACCTTAGATTGGCGTTACCATCGCATTAATTTTCCATCCAGTTTGGCAACAAAACCCAAAAGTTTATATTTGCCCCCAAAACAAACTTTTGCATTTTGTTGCCACACAAGGCATATACTTTGTTTAGTGATATACCCAATCGAAGGAGTAGAGCAAGGCGCCTCTATTTTCAGTGAGTTCCGACCGACTGACAACATAGTCTTTGAGTTATTACTGGTTTTGTCGAAAAAAGAATACCTACCACGCAGTCTGCTGAGGACTGTACAAAGCGCGGACCTCATCGTACCTTTCCCACACCGTCAGATCAGCCTTCATTGCTCCAATACTCGCCATCGGCAGACATTTGACAGGCAGCTGCTAGGAAAACCGATACAATCTTGAGACGCCAGAACGCGCCGCAATTGCCACCGCCCTCGTAACCTCTGCGCCATAAGCGTCGCGATCGCAGCCGCATGCCGTCGTCGTTGGCCAGCGACAGGGAAAATGTCGATAATTACATACGTTTCAACTGATAACCTGGTTTCGGCTCAGCCGGCGGCTGCTCGAGCGGCGCTGGGCCATTACGGGGCGGTTTACGACGCGGCGCGGCGCCGTAATCGCCGCTTATCTGGCCGCGACCAGCAGCGGCGCCGCAGCGGCTAATTCGGAGTGGCAGCAGCGGCGCAGCGCTGGATGTGCCGGCGTTATCGGTACGTATCGCCGGTGGTCGGGGCGTAGCCACACCCACCCGGGACAGGTCAAATGATGACCTGTCAGGCGAGGGGGAGGGGTGGGGACGGCGGACCGAGCCAGACACATGCAGTCCGGCAGTGTGTAGGTAGTTCTTTGGACAGCGCTACAGCGTTTGACATCAAGGCAAAGGAATGACTCTAGGTTGCCGTGATGTTTGAACAGTTTTATGGGCTCTAGCGACACCACCTGCTAGCTCTGTTGTTAAACGTGTACTAACGAGCTTCGCAGCCTGCACGGCATCGTAACTTTGTTGTCGCCCGACTATCAACATGCTCGTTGAGCTGCTATCCCTATGTTTCTCCCTCGGATCACGCTAGCTCGTACTGCGCGCAACAATTTGTTCCGATCGATTTGCTTGACGCTAACCATTTACAAGCGCCGCTCTAAATGTCCGTGAATCACTTCAGACCCAATAATCCGTGACCACCAAGGACACCGAGGTATCAGGGGAGCGCAGAGCAGAGGGGAGAGCAGGGAGGAGAGGGGAGGGAGGCGGCTCCGTCACGCTCTCAGTCACCAGCAGCCGCCCCAACAGTAGCAGATGCAAATCGGGCCGGCGTCCCTGGGGCTCTCATCATCCATCTAAACAGCGCGGCCCGTCAGCCGTCCCCCAGCTCATTGTTTCCGCTCGGCACGTCACCAGGAGGGGAGAGGGGAGAGGGGGAGAGAGGAGGGGAGGAGGGGAGAATGGTGATCTTTAGTGAATGGTGGTCTTTAGTGAGAATGGTGCCGCCGCTGACAGGCAGTGCCGGAACCGACCGAACGGCCGACACTCGCCAGCCATTTGAATTGGGCACACGTTGTTTATTTATCTAAGCGGCTTGTGGTGTACTGGACAGATCAACGCTTTTCCAATCATATTAACGTCGATAAAAAGATGCCTCGAGGTCTGTGGATGAACATTGTTCGCAGTGAGAGAGGAAGAGTACAAAATAAGTCACAACTTATCAACTATTTGCCGGGCCCGTTTTACAATACAACTCCCCCTCCCCCTCCATATCACCTCCCCTCCAAACACCCTCAACCACCCCACACAACCCTGTGATAGCCCGGACCGATCGGCTCCGTCCACTTACGCCGATGATCTGGTCTCATACACCCCACACAACCCTATGATAGCCCGGGCCAGCCAGCTCCGTCCACTTACGCCAATGATCTGGTTGAGTTCTGCCATGGTGACCTGTTTGGCCCGCTCCACTGCCGAGGCCACCTGCTGCTGATGGTCCTGAGACAGGAACGGGATCACCTGTGCCAGGATGGCGTTCAGCCGCTTACAGATCTCCGTCTGAGGGGGCAGACAGGGGCAGCGTCACACAGGGCAAACGCTACTGACGGGCAACATCGCAGACAGCTAACGTATGAAAGGCCAACGTTACGCGGGCAAACATTACGAGGGCAACGAGGGCAAACGTGGCGAAGGGAACAAGGGCGAACGTCAAGAACCCAAATGTCACAGACAGGAGCAATCGCGAGCTCCGGCGTTTGGGGTCCCCTGGAGCTGGGCGTTGGGCGCCCTGGAGCTGGGCGTCGGGCGCACCGGACCCGCGATAGCTGTGTGACGCCCCAGGCACCGAGCCCGCCCTCTCGGCATGGTGGGTGTGTCAGGCCCGGAGAGCTAATCGCCTCAGTCATTATTTCATTGGTAACTAACAGCCGCTTACTCGGACACGGTCGACGGTAAATAATTAAGTGGGCGGGTCTCTGGACAGACGACATGCATTATTGATACGGACAGGGCTACTGCACGCTGTAAAAGCTGCATACGAAGTCAATCCTCTCTGCAACTCACTGCATAATCTACGACTTCGCGGCGAGGCATTAACGACCACACGGGATAACCATTTCATCCTCATATGCTGCAGAAAAAGGAGCGGGAGCCGTCCGAATGGTACGCTGAGCGCAGCATCCATCATAGCGCACTCAATGCCAACATATCTCGTATCTATGCAGGCCGCTGTCGAGCTCGCATGAGCTGGCGCGCGTGCCGGTCATGCAAATTGGATCGACAACCGATCGACGATCGAGTTTCACCAAATAAAAACGGCCGTGATATCGATCACGGTGATGGGTTTTTCCGCCGCCGCTCCCTCCGCTGTGATGAAGTGGATCATGGGCTGGAGCGTTACGAGGGGAGCGGGCCTGTCGAGGGGGAGGGGCGGGGAGGGGGGGCGGAAGGACGAGCCGCCGCCGCTCTGGTGCGTCTGTTGACCGCGCCGTCGGCTCGTGTTTGAGATAAATATTGACTGGACGCCGCCGGACGGTCGCGCGGGCGCGCCGCCCGTTTGCGCGCGACACACAGCGCGCCAGCAGTTTGCGCGCGACACACAGAGCGCGCCAGCACTCACCTGTTTGTGCATCTCGACGTTCAGCCCATAAGACATCTCGTAGTACTGAAACGGGCCGACAGATGGGGTTAGTGAACTGTGACACCGGCCATTTGTATTCGGGCGGCGTCAGCACGGCTTTACGTCGAGGAAATGCTGCTCTGGCACATCCAAACGTGAAAGTTTCGCACCGTCTTTCAGACAAGTACTAGCGCCCACACGGAACCCGGTGTACGCGTGACCTGTAGACAAGTTTCTTTTTAACCAAAACACAAATAAAAAGCGTCTGGTGGCAGACAACTCACCATGACATAATGCCGCTGCATTTCCGTCTTCTCATTGGCCAGTTTTTCACATTCCAGCTTCAGCCTGTCGGGAACAATGATCAATTCAAAACAAGCGACTCATCGCGAGCCGCATTGACTCAGCAGACTTGCCATTCATTTTCAGCGAGTAATATCATGTAACTATCAGCCACATGAACATTGGACAATGAACAGTGACCATATTAAACAAGAAAGCCAAGCCATCGATACTACACACGAATCGAAATCAAAACCACGTGTTTGCATAACAAGAACCTAACACAATTTGGCGATTTTCTTGACGATGTTAGGTGCTGCGGCTGATTTAAGCACCATACGCACCTAACAAGCGCTACAGCCACGCCAGACATATGACAGTCAAACGACCCTAATTAGAGAAACCTTTAACTACCTCAGCCACTCCTCCCATTTCCCATGTCCAGCGTTCACAGGCTAATCGAACCCGTCTCCCATACCCAGGGACCCGTCATAAGAGCGGCTCACCCCAGGATTTGGACATAGTCCCAGAGTTGTCCGTAGTCCCAGAGTTGTCCGTAGTCCCAGGAGTTATCCGTAGTCCCAGGTGTTGTCTGTAGTCCCAGGTGTTGCCCATAGCCCCAGGAGTTGCCCATAGCCCCAGGGGTTGTCTGTAGTTCCAGGAGTTGTCCGTAGCCCCAGGAGCTTCCCGTAATCCCAAGAGTTGCTTGCCCGTCCTCCTCAGGAGTTGTCCATTCGCCCCTGGAGTTGCCCCCACTCCTAGAAGTTAGCTGCGCCCTAGCGGCTTTCGGCGCTAGGAGTTCTAGGACCCGTTCTCCCCAGGAGCTGCCCAGTGCCCACAGTCTCTCGCGCTAGAGAAACATCCCGAGTTGCCCGCCACCTCCCCCAACGCCCTTATCAGGAGTTGCCCTCACTTACCCCGAGAGTTACCCGCTCAACATCGGCCGTTTCCCGCCCACCGCCCTGGGTTTATCCGCCGTGGGACCGGTACTTACGCGTGGTACTGTGTCTGCAGAAAGTTGAACTCTTCCTTGATGCGGTCACACGTGTCGGATATGGTGAACTTGAGCTGGCTGGGCGGCTGGGGCGGCCCGCCCTGCGAACAGGGGCCACGTCGGACGCCGCCACTCAACACTCGACACTCGGCCGTCCACACTCCACACTCCACTGGACACTCAGTGGTTCCACATTCCACAGCACTTCACCCCACTGCACTGGGTGACGTGGTTTCACCGCAGCGTGGCTGGTCAATACACGCAGAGCAGTAGTATGACTGGAAATCGGGGCTGGGAAACAAGCTAAGCAAGCACTACGTGGGCATTCGTAAGCACTGGGGCTGGGCTGAGAGAAGCTATCCCGCAAATACGAATACGGGTCCAGCATTCACAGCACTGGCATTACAATATCTGGATAAATTGGTTATCACAATCACAAATGCATCGGAAAAAAATCGTTCTGAGAAATTTGATCACTAAACTGAAATTCGCTCTAACGACCAGTACGGTTCGCCGACCGTTTGAAAACCGGCGCCAAACAGAAACGGAACATCAGCCCAGCTGTTCCCACGGGTCCCAGACCCATTCTCAGCGCGTTTGTGACTTACCGTTCCCGGAGGTCGAGGCGTCGCGTACATATCCACCGAGTTCCTCAGCACCTGTGAGTCGCACTCTCACTGTCGCGCACTCGGGGCGCACCGCCACACGGAGCGACGACGCACCGCACCACTCACCACGGCGTCGCTCGCAAGACTGGCGCTCCGTGCGCATTCCAGGCAACAGCTGACGGCCGCCGCCGCTCGACCAATCAGCGCGCGCGGCGCCGGCCGTACCCCACGTGGGGCTACGACACACGGTATTTTTACATCTGGAAAGCGGCTTAGCGCGACGCTGTCGTGTCTGAGCGTTCCGAACTCTCAGCGGGAGGCCAACATGATCTGACAACCGACTACTTGTCCGTGGAGGGCAAATCAATTAATGACCGTTCGAACAGACTAACATGTACGACTGGTAGCCAAGTCGAGGGACTTTTTCGCCGGCGCAGCCACTAGAAACGCCTCCAACATGTTGGGTAATAGCGGGGGGAGGGTAACCGAACGACCGGCACAGACAAGTGATAACAATTAACAACCGCTCAGCGCCCTGCCTGTTCAGTGTTCAATACCAGCAATGCTTGAGTGAGCACCTATACATGAAGCCAAGGGTCCGTCGTGTGACGACTTGTGTAGCACTAGCTTCCCAGCACAGCTCGAATAGGTAGGTGCGCATTGATAATTCATTTGCTGCTGATGCTGAGTCAGTTTGCGGATTAATTGGTGCCGTTTCCTTGTCGCTATCTTGACAACTCTTCTCACCACTTGGCAAAGAGCGCCTTTTGCGATCGAGGGTGGGCTGAATCTGCCACCAAGTCCCAGCTCATTTTGCCTCAGGCAGATGTGCTGGCTGCTGCTGGTGTCCAGCTGCTGACAGACCAGCTTCAGGCTCATGCCACCATGCCAACAACACGTAGCCTTATTACGAAACGAGAAACTGTACTCTCTTCTCGTCACTACCTAATTAGACCAAAACTATCAAATGAGCCCGTCGGCGACTCGACTCTTACTCAGAGCAAGAGTCATTTCGCAAGGTCAGGTCACTGCTGAGTTGAGAGCAGATCCCAGTGGTACGCATTCATCCAACTTTCCAGCTTCTGACATTAAAAAAGAGACTGTGCGAGGCGCGAGCAGATATGGCGAAAAATATATGTCCGGATAATTTCAGTACCTACGCCCTGTAGGTGCATTATAAAGTCTGAGAGCCTGCTTAGCTCGTCCCCATTTGCCTCCGGATGTTTCAGTAGTCCGACCAACAGTAGCAAATGCAATATTCATTTGGCCTTATCAAGGCCATATGTCGCCTACAACTGCCCGAACCACAATGCATGTCGCCAGTAAACTTTGATACGGTGCTGTCGCGCTGGTGTATACGAGATGGTTACTGCTGGGCTCTATATTACAGGCAGAGGTATTGTGGTATATGTAGCCCAGCAGGCAGATGATTATCAGGCCAGGTACAATTGAGGTCACTTTAGGGTACAGTGTTGTGGACGAGTTGGCAACACCACGCTCTAGTACTTCATGACATGAATATATCCTGAGCTGAAAATTAAATAAGGGAAATAGACGATGAAGACACGAGCGACGGCTGTTTTAATGTGGCAAGTGAGTTGAAATTTGACACGGTGCGTCAAGTTGGGTAATAGGTATGCGACGTCTAAACATGATACGTTGGTGCGGAGGCTAGTCTCGGGAACTTTGCACTCGTTCTGTTCGTAATTGGTTGTGCAGCTCTTTCTGAAAAATCAACGGCTCCACACATTGCTAGGAATAGGAAATGAACAAGAAGGTAAAAAAGTCACTTCGCTGGCTGTTTCACAAAAGTTAGAAAAAATTATAAGATTCCGAGCAGCAACGAAGCTCTAGTACTTGACATGATAAAGTATTTTATTATACTTTCCTTTTCTGAGTTCCGTACCATGTGCTGGGTTAAAAAAAACATTGAAGATAAATTCGCAAAACTTGAAATAAACAGTAATAGGCAATAGCTTGTGTTGTCTTAGGAATGCATATTTATTTTAATTGTTTGAATGAGGAGGATATCCATACATGGAAACTCTACAACTAATTCACCATAGATATTCCTTTAGATACCCATCACATTTAATGCTGCCTATCCCTTTTCACGTTCAGGAGCAGCATGTGCCAATTTATGTTCATGCCTCATATCATTGGCACTTCGCTACTTCTGCTGTCCATGCATTGTACTGCAGTCTGCACTCTGCAGTGTATTAAATTCTGGTGAAATCACAGTGTTGCTGTTCCACCACAAGCAAAAACATAATTGAAAAAAAATCCTTAATGAGTTCCTGTATAGTTGAGAATGTGAATTGTTCTCTGGAATTTTCAGGAGACATTGCACGACACGAGTGTTGTGTGAAGACGGTTGCATAAAACCATATATCCTGTTGCAAGCATATGCATGATCAAGCAAAGTAACGATTCACGTCTTACATACACGCCGCAGACGTCTGAAGCCATTTTAAGCACACTTGTACGGTAATTAAGCCATTTTTTGTAGAGCTAATGTATTTTCCAGAAGAAATGGGTTCTAAGCGTGAAGCGTTTATTAGGATGAAAATAATTCTTGAGTATGTTAGGCAGGCACGTACCCAGGATTTCGCCCAGGAGGGGGCCACCTGCTTTCGAAGGGGCCCCCCACAGTGTATAGGGCCCCCCAGGTTCCCCGGGGGCCCCCGGGAGTCATGAAGAACCTTTCGATGGTGGGGGGGGGGGCATAGTGGGTCCGGTCTCCATTGGTCACCAATTGGTACCAATTGGACACATTTCAAATGGTCATGAAATGGTTGCAATTGGTACCAATTGGTGGCCAATTGGACACATTTCAAATGGAACCTCGTCTTTGGAACCATTTGGAAAAGTGTTCAATAAGTCAAATGGTTTTTCCCGTTTGGAACCATTTGGTAATTTCTAATGGTATTTTTTACTGGGCTTTCAGACGACCAGGGGCCCCCAGTCGACCAGGGGTTCCCATGCGACCAGGTCCTCCAGATGACTAGGGGGCGCCCCACTGCCCCAGGCGACCAGGGCCCCTCCAGGCGACCAAGGGCCAATGCGATCAGGTCCCCAAAGCGATCAGGGGCCCCCAGGCGACCAGGGGGCCCCATGCGACCAGGGGGCCCCATGCGACCAGGCCCCCGGCTACCAGGGGCCCCCAGGCGACCAGGGGCCCTCTAGGTGACCAGCGGCCCTCAGGCGATCAGGGGCCCCCAGGCGACCAGGGGATCCCAGGCTACCAGGGGCCCAAGGCGACCAGGGTCCCCCAGGCGACTAGGGGCGACCGGGGGCCCCAGGCAACCAGGGGCCCCCATGCGACCAGGCCCCCCGGCTACCAGGGCCCCCTGGGCGACTAGGTACCCCCAGGCGATCAGGGGCCTCAATATCATGCGACCAGAGGCCCCACATGCGACTAGGGCCCCCTAGGCGACTAGGGGCCACAAACTATCAGGGGCCCATACGACGACCAGGCCCCCGGCTATCAGGGCCCCCTAGGCAACTAGGGGCCCCCAGTCGATCAGGGGCCTCATGCGACCAGAGGCCCCCCATGCGACCAGGGCCCCCTAGGCGACTAGGGGCCACAGGCTATCAGGGGCCCCCATGAGACCAGGCCCCCGGCTACCAGAGGCCCCCTAGGCGACCAGGGGCCCAGGAAACTGGGGCCCTTGGATGACTGCAGGGGCCCCTCGGGTACCCAGGGCACATAAATGAAGCTTTAACCCGCGCCCTGCTGGGGGGGGGGTGTTTGAACACCCCCCTTGTGGTTTTTCGCGAATATCTCAAAAACGGCGGCGCGGAGCGCCGCCGTTTTTGGTACACCTTATCATAAATCAATTCTACATATGTTGTGAAAATTTCAGCCCAAGGTCATTCAAGGTCAGGTCACCAGGTCACTTGAAGTGACCTCACCACATAAAAAGTTTCAATGTCTGTCATAGCTACACCGAGTGACCGATCGCTTTGAAACTTTAAGCGATTGTTAAGAGCAATAGTACGTACAAAATGTATATCTCAGAATTTTAATATCGATGACCTAAGGTCAGGTCAATTTTGCGACCTCCCCATTATAAGTCAATGGGAGAAAATTGAAATGCGCCTCTTTTGGACGAAAGACATTATAAACACTCCCAAACACTGAATTACAAGTGGTTTAGACACACTGAACATGAAAATGGTGTCCGTGACCCCTGTTTATGCCCTGAGGTCATCTTAGGTCACGAATGGTATCTAACAGTTTTTCGCAAATAACTTTTGATAGAGGCATGCTAGAGCGATAAAAACGCCTTAGATATGTTCAGCTCGACGATACGGATCGACTGATATGCAACATTACCCTTTCCGGTCAGGTCATGACCTTGACCTGAGGTCAAATTTTCAAGTTGACCTCTCAAGGTCAAATTATAGTCCATTCGATGCGTCTTGACGAGAGGAACACGATGCCGGTAAAAGTAAGCTAGTACAAGGCTTGGGTCAAAAGTTATTGCAGAAAAACTGTTTCCGAAAAAATCGGCTATTTTTGCAGTTTTTGCCCCCTGCAGGCAAAACCGTTGAGGTTAGGTCAAATCTGAGAGAATTATTTAGAATGGGCGTTAATAGAGATATCGAATGCGCTTTTCCACGGCGCTGTAGCTCTATTGGTTCCCGAGTTATGCGTTGGCTTCTTGGAAATTGTCGACATTCGACCTGGAAATCGGCGAAATTTTGCCTTCAATGACCTCTGGTGACCTGACCTTTGACCTGACCAAAAAATTGACCGAAGTGATTTCCTCATTATTTTTGACGCTCTTTCGAACGCCGCCTTCCGCGTATCGCTACGTGGCCCAGGAGCCGAGTTAGAAGGGGGGGGGGGTGTTCAAACACCCCCCCCCCCCAGCAGGGCGTGGAAATCCAGGACCCCCAGCAGGGCGCGGGTTAATATCAAATTTTCTTCCGAGTAAAAGACGTTTTATCCCGTGTTTAAAAAAATATCCTGGGGCCTGAGGGGCCCCCTGAGGGGGGGGGCCTTGGCCCCCGTGGCCCCCCCCCTTGGGTACGTCACTGATGTTAGGCGAAATTGAGGTCAGGCACCAGATCATATTGAACGCACAGAATATATATTACTGACCGGGCCGACGAAATTATTTGGAAACGAGGTTTGCAAAATTGACGGAGGCCCGAGTGCGGAGCACGAGGGCCGGAGTCAAAATTTGCAAGCCGAGTTTCCAAATAATTTCGCACGGCTGAGGTCAGTAAGATTTTTCCTACATGCCGCATACCTGTTAAAGGAAAAGGGCCACCTTTAACATGGGGATTGAAACTGAGATAGCCATCTTGTAGCCCGTGTCCGAAAACCTGTCTGTCTACCTCCTTACGGCCGATTTCGGCCTCCATTCGTAGTTATCGGCAATTTTAAAAGAAAATACGCCAGGAATGCGTTCTTATCCCAGGAATGCGTTCTTATCCGACAATACAGCCACCCGCGGCGAGGCTTTGGTTTTTTACCAATCAGCTCCAACCAGCTCAGCTTTAACCAATCAGCTTATCTGACACAATCCGACGAGTCTGTCTTCTGAACGCTGATAGGCTTGAGTGTGACGTCATCGCTATGCCATCATACAGTAGGTGCCGTAGAGAGTATCAACATAGTACCAATATGTTAAATAGTTTTAAATACTTTTTCG